AGGGAGAAAACTCCTAGTCTACGTCTGACCTCCCTCCACGTGAACAGTGTGTCCCGTATGAGTGTGGATTATGTTTAAGATGCTCCGGGAGTGAGTTAAAGTTGGAGTGTAGAAGGGCTGACAGATCAAACGGGCTCACCATGGCTGACTCAAGTTGGTAATTGGAGAACACGGACGCTCGGGAGAGCCAATCTATACACACCCGTAAAATGCAGGATAGATTATAAAAGCCTAATATTGGGGAGGCCCAGTCCGCCCTCACATCTAGGGAGAAACAACTTATGTATGGCTATGCGCGAGCGGCGCCCCCTCCATAGGAAACTAGAGATCGCCTTGTTTAACTTGACTATATCCGTATGTTTGAGCAGGAGTGGGATAGTTTGAAGAGGGTATAAAAGCTTCGGAAAAGTCGTCATCTTGAAGAGATGGGCTCTGCCCATGAGTGATAACGGCAGGTCTTTCCACATTTCCAATTCTCCTAAAATTTTTTGGATCACTGGCGAATAATTCAGAGAATAAAGGGACGAGGCTAATTTCCCAATTTTAATACCCAGATAAGTAATATGGTTAGTATTAATTTTAAATAGAGAGTTGCAGGCCCAATCAGGAAGCCGAGCATGATATAGGGGAAGAACCTCACTTTTCGCAAAATTTAATACGGAGACCCGAGCAGCACCGAAATTCTGCGAAAACTGTCTGGATATAAGGTAAATCCAGAGTTGGGTTGGAGGTGAATATTAATATATCGTCAGCAAATAAGGCTATGCGGAGATCTTGTTGACCAATTTGAATACCATGGAGGCGCGATTGAAATAACAGGAAACGGGCTAAAGGTTCTAGTGCAAGATTGAAAAGCAGGGGGGATAATGGACACCCTTGCCTTGTTCCCTTATAGAGTAGAATAGGGTTGGATATTTTTCCCGCTGCTACTATCTGAGCCATAGGGGCAACATACATAGCCTGAATCAATTGTGTAAATGGACCAGAAAAGCCAAATTTAGCAAGGACTAGTTTGAGCCATTGAAAACTGACATTATCAAAAGGCTTTTTCAGCGTCAAGAGAGACGATTGCTAGATCCTGTAGTGGGTTGATTTTAGCCTGATGCAGAACTGAAAGCACTTTGCGGATATTTGACGTGGCCGATCGTCCCTTTATAAAACCCGCTTGAGAGGGGTGAATAAGTGAGGGTAAGATAATGGCCAAGCGGTTAGCTATAATTTTAGAAAGGATCTTTGCATCTAGATTAAGGAGGGAAATGGGACGATAAGATCCAGGATCCGAAGGGTCTTTGCCTTTTTTTGCTATTAATTTAATATGGGCTTGTGAAGCCGATGGGAGATAAAGCCCACTCTCCAGGATGGACTGATAAACCAGCTGTAGAGTAGGAGAGAGGGTTTTGTCCATAAGTTTAAAGAATTCAGAGGTGTACCCATCTGGACCTGGAGCTTTACCATTGGCTAAAGATCTAATAGCTAGACAGATATCCGCTTGTGATATAGGGGCATTTAGAGATTGCAGCGCTATTGGATCTATTTGAGGTAGACTTACTCTGTCCAGAAAGGATTGTGCTTGTTCCTGGTCAATAGGATCCGGCCCATATAGCTTTGCATAAAAGCTTTCCAAAATAGATATGATCTCTTCCAAAGATTGTTTAAGTGCTCCCTGAGAGTCTTTAAGAGAGGTGAATTGTGTGTGGGGGTGAAAGGCTTCCTACATAGGCGCGCCAATAATTTGCCTGGTTTATTACCAAACCTATGATATTGTAAGTCAAGATGTGAATGGTATAATGTTTCCTGCGCTGCCGCCCATGTGTCAAACTGGTTTTTAGCATCCACCCAAGCTTTCCTGTTTTCCTGCGTATTGGACTCTGCCATATCACTTTGTGTCTGTCTAAGAAGGTTACTAGCCTCAGTAAAGTTATGCAGAATTCTTTTTTTATAAGTGGACGTAAAGGCAATGATTTTACCACGTAATACCGCCTTCCCCGCATCCCAAAACAAATTTGGGTTGGAAACGTGGGCCGCATTAGTAATTTGGAAGTCTGACCATGTGTCTTTTAATTGCTGGGAGAGTTCCTGATTATTCGGGGGGGGGGGGGGGGGGGGGGGTCCAGAAACGAAGGAAAGCGCCATATCCTAGGATGTGGCGTAGGGGTCTAGAAAATTTATAGTAACAGAAATCGGTGAGTGATCCGATATGGCTATGTCATGTATAGTCGAAGATACCACATGATGCAGTAGTACGGGGTTACAGAAAATGTAATCGATTCTAGATAAAGAATGATGAACAGGGGAATAGAAAGTGTAGTCTTTTGCCGTCCGGATGTGCTAAGCGCCATATATCTGTAATTTGCATTGCTTCAATGAAAAGTAGCTACATAGTAAAGTAGGTGTTGGACGGGAAATCTGAGAGGAGCGAAGTCCACGTTCAACACCCGTTTCAACACTCTGTGATTTATCCTCCTGCTCTTGCATAACGGAGTTAAAGTCCCCTCCCATGATAAGAGGCTTTGTGAATATAGGCCGCCAGCCGCGTCGAGAGGGCTTGAAAAACCTGTCTCGTCGGGGAGTTGGGTGCGTAAAAGTTGGAGAGAACCAGCTCCTGGGATCCAAGTTTAATATATACTGCTATAAAACGACCCTCAGTGTCAGCGTCCATGGAAATTAATTCAGGATTAAGCCGTTTGTGTATAAGAATAAGTACCCCAGCTTTATTGTTTAAGGAGGAGGAGCCAAAGATCTGGCCTACCCAGAGTTTACGCATACGGGCAAAATCCGATTGGGTAAGATGGGTTTCTTGGAGCAAAGCTACATCCGTGCGTAAACGCCGCAAGTGTCTTAGTATCGCCATGCGTTTGTGAGGAGATCTGAGGCCCTTAACATTCCATGAAAATATACGTGTCATTTTAACTGTTGTAATATATATAGTGAAAGGATAAGAATCTTACCAATTAGAGATGGAGGAACGGATGGCGCTGCTATGTATGTGTCAGGGCTCCCAGGTGTGACCAGAGATGTGTGACTGACGCAGGGAAACGCAGACTTCAGATATGTGATAAACAATGTAATTTATTAACACTAACAATACAACCATAAACGCAGTGCAATACTAAAACATAATACAGTGCAAACAAACCAAACCAACCACCCACAGATAACAATACAAACAAGCAAGCGTCGTCAGGCAGGCCGGGTCAATATCAATAGGGCAGGTAGGTACAGGGGGGAGCAAGCTGAGAATGGTCGGGGTCACAGGCCAGGTTCAGCAGGTAGCAAGCAGCGTAGTACAGAGGGTCAGGCAGAGGGATGGTCAGGGTCACAAGCCAGGGATCAGAACAGGTAGCAAGCAGCGTGGTACAGAGGGTCAGGCAGAGGGATGGTCAGGGTCACAAGCCAGGGATCAGAACAGGGTCAGCAGAGAATCAGACAGGAACAGAGAGCAGGAACAGGATACAGGATGCAGGACAGATACAGGGCCCAGGACAAACACAACACCAAGGCAGAGTCTGCAAGTCTGGCCATCCCTTAAATACACCAGTATCATCAGTTCCAGGTGTTAGCTGGCTGAAAGGTTGAGTCTCTGATTGCTGGGAGCACCCGCTGGCCAGCCCTGGTACTGCAGATCAAAAGGCAGGTGAGTCCCACCATTGCTGGTCAGTCCATTCCTGACAGTACCCCCCCCCTCAAGGAGCAGCCTCAGGACGCTCCAAACAGTCCTAGCTGGGTAAAATGTTCCACCGCCCGGGTCTGGTAACTGGTGGGATATCAAAGACTGGCACACCGGGCAGGACTCCGGGCAGCGGCACACCGGGCTGGACTCCAGGCAGAGGCACACCGGGCAGAGGCACACCGGGCAGAGGCACACCGGGCAGAGGCACACCGGGCAGGACTCCGGGCAGAGGCACATCGGGCAGGACTCCGGGCAGAGGCACATCGGGCAGGACTCCGGGCAGAGGCACATCGGGCAGGACTCCGGGCAGAGGCACATCGGGCAGGACTCGGGCAGAGGCACATCGGGCAGAGGCACATCGGGCAGGACTCCGGGCAGAGGCACATCGGGCAGGACTCCGGGCAGAGGCACATCGGACAGGACTCCGGGCAGAGGCACATCGGGCAGGACTCCGGGCAGAGGCACATTGGGCAGGACTCCGGGCAGAGGCACATCGGACAGGACTCCGGGCAGAGGCACATCGGACAGGACTCCGGGCAGAGGCACATCGGGTAGGACTCCGGGCAGAGGCACATCGGATTACCAGGCGAAGCAGCAGGCAGGGGCCACCAGGTGGAGCAGCAGGCACCGGGGGCCCCCGGGTGGAGCAGCAGGCACCGGGCCCCCGGGCGGAGCAGCAGGCACCGGGCCCCCGGGCGGGGCAACAGGCACCGGGCCCCCGGCCGGGGCAACAGGCACCGGGCCCCCAGGCGGGGCAACAGTCACCGGGCCCCCAGGCGGGGCGGCGGGCGCCGGGCCCCCAGGCGGAGCGGCGGGCGCCGGGCCCCCAGGCGGAGCAACAGGCACCGGGCCCCCGGCCGGGGCAACAGGCACCGGGCCCCCAGGCGGGGCAACAGTCACCGGGCCCCCAGGCGGGACGCCGGGCGCCGGGCCCCCAGGCGGAGCAGCGGGCGCCGGGCCCCCAGGCGGAGCGGCGGGCGCCGGGCCCCCAGGCAGGGCGACAGGCATCGGGCCCCCAGGCGGGGCAACAGGCATCGGGCCCCCAGGCGGGGCGACAGGCATCGGGCCCCCAGGCGGGGCGACAGGCATCGGGCCCCCAGGCGGGGCGACCGGCATCGGACCCCCAGGCGAAGCGACAGGTCTCGGGCCCTCAGGCGGAGCGGCGGCGGGCGCCGGACCCCCAGGTGGAGCGACAGGTTTCGGGCCCTCAGGCGGAGCGGCGGGCGCCGGACCCCCAGGTGGAGCGACAGGTCTCGGGCCTTCCGGCGGAGCGGCGGGCGCCGGACCCCCAGGCGGAGCGACAGGTCTCGGGCCCTCAGGCGGAGCGGAGGCGGGCGCCGGACCCCCAGGCGGAGCGACAGGTCTCGGGCCCTCAGGCGGAGCGGCGGGCGCCGGACCCCCAGGCGAAGCGACAGGTCTCGGGCCCTCAGGCGGAGCGGCGGGCGCCGGACCCCCAGGTGGAGCGACAGGTTTCGGGCCCTCAGGCGGAGCGGCGGGCGCCGGACCCCCAGGTGGAGCGACAGGTCTCGGGCCTTCCGGTGGAGCGGCGGGCGCCGGACCCCCAGGCGGAGCGACAGGTCTCGGGCCCTCAGGCGGAGCGGCGGGCGCCGGACCCCCAGGCGGAGCGACAGGTCTCGGGCCCTCAGGCGGAGCGGCGGGCGCCGGACCCATAGGCGGAGCGACAGGTCTCGGGCCCTCAGGCGGAGCGGCGGGCGCCGGGCCCCCAGGCGGGGCGACAGGCATCGGGCCCCCAGGCGGGGCGACAGGCATCGGGCCCCCAGGCGGGGCAACCGGCATCGGGCCCCCAGGCGGGGCGGCGGGCGCCGGACCCCCAGGCGGAGCGACAGGTCTCGGGCCCTCAGGCGGAGCGGCGGGCGGGGCGCCGGACCCCCAGGCGGAGCGACAGGTCTCGGGCCCTCAGGCGGAGCGGCGGGCGCCGGACCCCCAGGTGGAGCGACAGGTCTCGGGCCCTCAGGCGGAGCGGCGGGCGCCGGACCCCCAGGCAGAGCGACAGGTTTCGGGCCCTCAGGCGGAGCGGCAGGCGCCGGACCCCCAGGTGGAGCGACAGGTCTCGGGCCTTCCGGCGGAGCGGCGGGCGCCGGACCCCCAGGCGGAGCGACAGGTCTCGGGCCCCCAGGCGGGGCGACAGGCATCGGGCCCCCAGGCGGAGCGACAGGTCTCGGGCCCTCAGGCGGAGCGGCGGGCGCCGGACCCCCAGGCGGAGCGACAGGTCTCGGGCCCTCAGGCGGAGCCGCGGGCGCCGGACCCCCAGGCGGAGCGACAGGTCTCGGGCCCCCAGGCGGAGCGGCGGGCGCCGGACCCCCAGATGGAGCGACAGGTCTCGGGCCCTCAGGCGGAGCGGTGGGCGCCGGACCCCCAGGTGGAGCGACAGGTCTCGGGCCCTCAGGCGGAGCGGCGGGCGCCGAGTCACCAGGCACGACAGTGGGCTCCGAGTCAACTGGCATGACCGCTGGCACTGGGTCAGACATTGGATCGTCTGGCTGGACAGCGGGCATCGGGTCACCAGGCATCAAGTCATTTGGCTCGACAGCGAGCACCGCGTCATCTGGCAAGGCAGTGGGCTCTGAGTCAACTGGCAGACCGCGGGCACTGGGGCAGACATTGAATCGTCTGGCCGGACAGCGGGCATCGGGTCACCAGGCATCAGGTCATTTGGCTCGACAGCGGGCACCGCGTCATCTGGCAAGGCAGTGGGCTCCGAGTCAACAGGCACGACAGTGGGCACCGGGTCATCAGGTACCGGATTGTCTGGCTCGACAGCGGGCATCGGGTCACCAGTTATGACAGCGGGCACTGGGTCACCAGGCATTAGGTCATTTGGCTCGACAGCGGGCACCGCGTCATCTGGCAAGGCAGTGGGCTCCGAGTCAACAGGCACGACAGTGGGCACCGGGTCATCAGGTACCGGATCATCTGGATCAACAGCGGGCATCAAGTCAACTGGCCTAATAGGATCGTCAGGCTGGATCAGTTCATCATGCTGGGTAGAGGCATCAGGCTGAATGCCGGCGTCCGGCTGAGTAGAGGCTTCCGGCCGAAGAGAGGGCTTCCGGCCGAAGAGAGGCATCCGGCCGAGGAGAGGCTTCAGGCCGAGTAGAGGCTTCAGGCCGAGTAGAGGCATCAGGCCGAGTAGAGGCATCAGGCCGAGTAGAGGCTTCAGGCCGAGTAGAGGCTTCAGGCCGAGTAGTAGAGGCTTCAGGCCGAGTCACGGAAGGCAGGTTCACCGGTTTGGATACTGGCAGGATGGTATTGGTTGGAAAGAATTTTCGTTTTTTTTTTCTGGTTTTAACTACTGGAGCACTGCAAGTAAACGCAGGTCTGCAAACGAATGGAGCAGCTGGAGACAGAGAAGAACTGGAGGATGGAACAGAAGGGGGAGCAGTTGCTACAGAGGGCTTTTTTACAGGGTTAAAGGCAGGATAGGTGCAGCGAGTGGGAACAGGGTACTGACATGCGGTAGATAGCCAAGTATACTGGGCTGTAACTGGAGGAGCTGTTGGGAATACAGGAGTAGAGTTAGAAGCAGGACTGGGTCTTTGTAAGCTGACTGAGGCTGGGTGTGTAACAAGTCTGTCCATGTCTGCAGTAGGGGTTGAACAAAGCTGAGCTTACACAAAGCCTGTCTGGTCAATGACTGCACTGCGTTTATACAATCTCTTAGTGTCTGTGGTGAACATGTGGAATAACGCTCCAGAAAGTAACCCACATCATCCTCTAATAACCATACCAGAGACTCTACCTGGTCTGCACTAAATGGTGGCAAAAATTCATCCCTGCATTCGGGGGAACCAGATGAAACCAACTCAACACAAACCTGAATCAATGGCTGCACCATAGAGAAATCTGTGCCCTGATCTACTAGAACATGAGCGAGCCGTATACATTCTAGCAGTTCATCCCGGGGATACTCCTTCAGAGTCTGATAAGCATACTCTCTGTCATCAAGCACTAGCAGAGATAAATACTCAACCTCATCCAGATCCATCCTTCCCATCAACAAGCCAAGATGGCTTCCCTGTGCAGCCACTTCTGGTCAGGATTGGCCTTGGTGTAATGTCAGGGCTCCCAGGTGTGACCAGAGATGTGTGACTGACGCAGGGAAACGCAGACTTCAGATATGTGATAAACAATGTAATTTATTAACACTAACAATACAACCATAAACGCAGTGCAATACTAAAACATAATACAGTGCAAACAAACCAATCCAACCACCCACAGATAACAGTACAAACAAGCAAGCGTCGTCAGGCAGGCCGGGTCAATATCAATAGGGCAGGTAGGTACAAGGGGAGCAAGCTGAGAATGGTCGGGGTCACAGGCCAGGTTCAGCAGGTAGCAAGCAGCGTAGTACAGAGGGTCAGGCAGAGGGATGGTCAGGGTCACAAGCCAGGGATCAGAACAGGTAGCAAGCAGCGTGGTACAGAGGGTCAGGCAGAGGGATGGTCAGGGTCACAAGCCAGGGATCAGAACAGGGTCAGCAGAGAATCAGACAGGAACAGAGAGCAGGAACAGGATACAGGATGCAGGACAGATACAGGGCCCTGGACAAAAAAACACAACACCAAGGCAGAGTCTGCAAGTCTGGCCATCCCTTAAATACACCAGTATCATCAGTTCCAGGTGTTAGCTGGCTGAAAGGTTGAGTCTCTGATTCCTAGGAGCACCCGCTGGCCAGCCCTGGTACTGCAGATCAAAAGGCAGGTGAGTCCCACCATTGCTGGCCAGTCCATTCCTGACAGTATGGCAAATGGAGGTGGTTGGAATCTGGTCTCAGAGGACAAAAGAGTTCTCCCAAGAAGTAGAGATCCCGCCATCCACAGCAACGCTGAAATATGGAATCAGGCACATGTAGGAGTAAGGAAGTAGTAAAATCAGGCCTGTAGGTAAATTAAACAGTAACAACGAAACGGGTGATTACGAGGAAACACCGCAACATCAGAAATTACAGAAAATAAAACTCGTGCTGAACAATCAATAGACTCATACATTGGAGTGTGATAATATATCAGTAGATAGCAAGAGGAATCTTTCCAAGATGAAAATGAAAAGAAAAAAAACAAAAAAAAAAAATTGAAGAAACACATCCAATTGAGCCAATCGGATCAGGAGTAAGGCTGGAAGAAGTTGTGAAGAGACCGATGGTTCCTCAGTCCCTTCAGGGCGGGCGAGATTTAGAGGACGCTAGATTAGTGCGTTGACGTTTGGGGGGGGGTCTTTGCGAGGACTGCGTTGGTCTCTGGGACCACTATTCCTACCCGCGGGATCCCCGTCCTTTAGGTGGTCTTGCAAATATTGGTGGGCTTCTTCAGGATGAACGAAAGATTTAGAATCCCCCCGATGGTGCAGTAAAACGTAACGTGGCCGGATATGCAAGTGTGAACTTTATTCCTTTCTGGTAAAAGAGTGGCACAGACTTGCTGGAATGCTTTCCGTTTACGTGATACTTCCTGTGAGTAGTCCGCAAATAATAGCAATTTATGACCCTCAATTTGCACAGAACGGGAGTTACGGAAAGAGGTGAGGATC